TGCTTGGACACGTTTTGTGTATGTGTGTGATACACTCACAGAATTGTAATCATTTTTTCACGCCTCTTCCTATCCTCTTAAAGTTTCAAAAGAGTTTTAAAAAGGAATGTACATAAAATAAAGCACAATTTAGATATTGGTGTGTGTGGGGGGGGAATCTTATGGAAAGGTTAACTCATGATCTACGCAGGGCTAAGGGTCAAGTCAAATCTGATGTATCTGAAACAGCACAACCCCCGATTTAATACTTCAGTTAGGCCACTGTATAGTACTCAACTTGGGTTTTGGAGAATCTTTTTGCAGATTTTGCTCTCCCAATCACTTGTACTTATTCCTAAAAATGTATCAACATACAATAATTAATATGGGGTTGTTCTTGTTCTATCTTGGTGTGTTTCTTAATGTTCCCATGATTACCTGGTTTTGCAAAATATCAATAAAAAGTTTTTAAAAGCACACACACATATATTGCTGGAAGGCCACAAACCAGCAAGTTTCTCTTTTTCAGCATTCAAAAAAAAAAAAAAGTGTCCCCGGATTCTTTGAAAAAAATCTGGTAACCTTAGCCTATGGTCCTTGTGACTTTCTTGTGAACTTGCCCTCTCATTATTTTCAGTGAAACTGCTCCCAGTATAAAGGTGAGTCTGTACTCCTGAGATTACTTCCCACATATGCCAGTCTCCCCCAGTCCCATGACATCTTCTTTTGTTCTTGGGAGAGGCAATGCTAATCCCAGCAAGGTGTTTGAGCCACAGCCTTTCAAGTGTAATTTGAAACCACCTCTCCCATCAATCCTGGCTGATGTTTTTGTGCCCAGATTCTAATCAACAGGAAGATAGGCCTTTCTTTGTGTTGTGTTCTGTTTCTTGTATTCAATATGAAGAGGCGCCTGGCTGCTAGATCAGCCCAGTGGCCCATCTAGTCCAACATCCTGTTCACACAAAACCATCCTGATCCCTCCTCTGGGAAAACACATAACAGAGGCAAGCCTCAAAATGGTACTAAAAATATGTGAATTGCCCCTGAATTGCTCCTTATTTATTGAGCTTTTGTCTCTTGCAAGTGAGTTGTCAAATTGCTTGTTTTACAATATATTCCTCCTAATTCAGCACTTGCTTTATTATCACAAGATTTGGCCCCAAACTCCATCCTTCCTGTTCACAGCAGCTAGACTAGTTATTGCCCAACGATGGAAGGAAACATCTAATATACCAATAGAGGCTTGGGTTAACAATAGCTGGAGTATTACTCTATCAGAACGCCTCGCATACCATCGGTGACTAATCAAGGGCATTTCAAAAAAAGATACCTTTGATGCAGTCTGGTATCCCCTTTTCTCTTTTATTGAAGAACAAGATATTTTAATGCCATCATCATCACAGAGGTGTCTGTGGGGGGGATATATTCATTGAAAATGTTAGCTTTTCATTTCTTTTTTTTAAAAAGGAACCTATCTGTTTGTTAACCCTAGCACTAGAGGTACCGGTAATTCTCTAAATATCTCTGCCACTCTGTAGACTTTCTTAATAATAATAATAATAATAATTTATATGCCACCACCTGATTGGGCTGCCCGGAGCATAGCTGTCAACTTACAGATTTGAAAATAAGGGACCAGCAGCCTTGAAAATAAGGGACCAGCAGCCAAAATAAAGGACCTGCAGCCTCACCTGTTCCAGGCACTCCAGTCTTCCTGTCCTCCTGCAGTCTGGTCAAACTCATGCTGGTAGCTTTGAGAACACTGTCCAACCAACTTTGTAACCAGAGGTTCAACTGAATAGAATCTGAATCACATGCACCACAAGGCCTATGTAGCCTCAACTTAAGATGGCACCCCGGCCTGGCTTTGCACTGCAAAGTTTGCAGCAGCACGTGCAACAAAATGGTGTCCAGCATTCAAAAAACCCCTCAGCTTGCATTAACTAGCCACACACAAGGCATGCAAGCTCCACCCCCCAGTCGTTCTTAGACTTCTTATTGGGTGAGCAACACAGCCAAGCAACACAGTTGCTGGTCGGCAGGGAGGGAGGGAGAGGAGCTGCTTCCTTTGAAATTTAAGGGACATCATTTAAGGGACATTTAAGGGACATCCATCAATAAGGGACAGCAGCGGGACATGGCGCTGGAATAAGGGACTGTCCCTTCAAATAAGGGACACTTGACAGCTATGGCCCGGAGACCCACAAATTTAGACTGGGGGGGGGGGGGAGATTGCCCAGGATTTTAACTGATTTTATATCTACCCCTTTTTGTATTTTTACTGTTGCTACAATAACTGCTTTTGTTTCTGATAAAAATTTTTTCCCTTCCAGTAGCACCTTAGAGACCAACTAAGTTTGTTATTGGTATGAGCTTTCGTGTGCATGCACACTTCTTTCTGATGTTTCTGATCTGTTTTTATATTTGTTTTATGGTTCTCTTTTGTAGGCTATCTTGGATATCTAGATTAATAAAATTATGGGTGTTGTTTTTTTAAAATGCTTGTTTCATTCTGTTATCCCTTTTCATGATAGCAAAATTACACTATTTACCTCCAATGGAAAGGAAAGGGAGGGGGGGGGGGAGAGAGAGAGATAAAAAAAATAGTAAAGCAAAATTAAATAAAGAACAATTAATGGGGAATTCAGTATTGATCTCTTAGCTGTACAGACTCAGGAAGCTAAAAAGCAAACAAACCACAACAGCACAACTTACAAGCAGGAGGCTTTTGATTAGCATTATAAGGCACCGTTATTGAAAGGAACTTACTTTTGACTAGGTATTATAATAAGAACTTGTCTATGAGAAACAGTATTCTTAGTTAAGATTATTGTTGCGTTTATATCCCGCCTTGCCTTCAAGCAGCTCCAAGTGGCATGTTATTCTCACAACAACACTGTGACGTAGCTTAGGCTAAGAGGCAATGATTGATCCAAATTTGAACCCAGGACTGCCCAATTCCTAGTCCAACACTCTAACCACTCCACCACACTTCCTCTTCTAGTTAATTCCACATCTAGCAGGAAAGGAAATGCCAGTGTGGTGTAGTGGTTAAGAGCGGTAGTCTCGTAATCTGGGGAACCGGGTTTGAGTCTCCGCTCCTCCACATGCAGCTGCTGGGTGACCTTGGGCCAGTCACACTTCTTTGAAGTCTCTCAGCCCCACTCACCTCACAGAGTGTTTGTTGTGGGGGAGGAAGGGAAAGGAGAATGTTAGCCGCTTTGAGACTCCTTAAAGGGAGTGAAAGGCGGGATATCAAATCCAAACTCTTCTTCTTCTTCTTCTAAAGAGGTCCAGTGCAGAACCAACCTAACAGCACCCATAACAGCTGATTTTTCATCTAGGCTGTAAACCTGACTTTACAGAAGTGATGTTACACACACACACACACACACACACACACACACACACACACACCAGTGAGTTGTGATTAGAGCTATTTGGCAATGCCTAACAGCCATCTTTCACATTCCTTGCAGTTAAACAACAGGCCTGCCAAGTGCTGAAAATTATAAATATTTATTGAAGGTGAGGGATGGAGGAAATGGATTAAGCTCCCAGATATTCTCAGAAAAAAAGTATGTTTGTTATAGATTTCACAATGATTAAATAATGCACACACACAAAATTCAAAGTTAAATTTTCATAATCCACTAGAGCAAAAAATGTTTCTTACTGTGTATCACTGGGCCTATTTTGTACAAGTTATTTTGTGAATTCATTGCCAAGATGATTTTTGACTTTTATACATATCATCCACAGCCAGACTACAAATTCACCATCACTAATACAACCTCACTGTGCACACATAAAATCATAAAATTGAAGAGTTGGAAGGGATCCCGAGGGTCATCTAGTCCAACCCCCTGCAATGCAGGAATCTCAACATGTGGTCCCCCATCCAATGCTTAGCTTTGCAAATGTACTAGCAGCTTTATGTACAGTTTTATGTACAAGTGCACCCTAGGACTGCAGTCTTGGAATCCTGATGCACCATTTTTATTTGCCGATTCTGGAGGAACTACACAGCCATATGCGCAAGATGATTATTTCACTGCATTTGGAAGAATGCGACCTTTTAAAAATAGATATATTATTTATTAGATCATTAAAGCATTGACAACCAAAATTCCAACTACTGACATAAAAAGTAACTATTAACATTACAGCAAATTAAAGACAGCACAGGGTAGTACATTAAGTTTATTATTCCAGAACATTACTAAAAAAATGCCCATCTTTCCATAAACTTATTGGATTGATTTGCATGTTTTCTCTCATAGTAGGTTGTACATTTTATGGTAGAGCATGTACTTTTAAGTCAAAAATCATTAAAACAGCAGTAATCTTCAACTTCAGCCAGCAAAACAGTTCAAAGAAAAATAAACTACATGGAAAAAAACCCAAACTTTCTCAACACCATAATCGATGTGCATTTACAAATATTTACCATTTATGAGGTTCATCTTATTATACACAATCTTTTGTTTGAAAAAATACATTTCCCATTGACATCAGTAGAAATTCTCCATGTTTACCAATTTGCTGGATATATTCAATTTGCTTTTTTTTTAATTACAAAAACATTATTAGTATCGTATTGCTCCATGTGTAGCAACTAATGAAGTTTCACAGAAACCACTAACTTAAGAACCAAAGCTTACCAAAAGAAAGGGCAACATTTGGAACCGGACATAGAGCTATGAGCAAGTTGTTGAACAAAGAGGTAAAGTGCAGGTCTTGGTGTGCAGAGAGGGAGAGGAGGGGAAATCTCAAAGTGGAATCACTGTACACAGTATCTTCCAGCTAACCTTTGTCTATCATTAAACAGATCTGGCAGGTGTTTGTATTCCCTCGCCCCCCAAAAAACCTGTTTGACTTGCAGAAAACAAAAGAAAGCTGTTTCCACTACATGGGAAATGAGCTCTCTTAAAAAATTATTGCCCAACAGGAGTCTTCTTGAAACTTCTCCCTCCCTTCCTCTCTCTCTCTCTCTCTCCCTCCCTCCCTCCCTCCCTCTCTCTCTCTCTCTCACACACACACACACACAGAGAGTAGGAAAAAGTGATACCAGCTGATTGACAGGCAGACCAATATTGGCCCATAGGCTGGAGGTTTCCCATCCCTGTGCTGGGTCCAGTCAAAAAGATCCATAAATATAGGATGTCAGAGCAATGGATGCAATTCAGCCCCAACCTCAAACGATTTTAGCACAATGAACTTTGGACTGGATTGTGGCAGATGCTAGGTAGATTTTAGATTTCACTGATTAAAGAGGAAGGAAGGAAGAAAGGAAAGAAAGATTCATGATGCAAAGGAAATTGCACCTGTTGAATTGAACTGCAGTCTAAAAAAGCTTGTGCCGTATTAAATGTCTTCATCTTGGAGATGGTACAAGAGGTTTGTATGCATGTTTGTTTGTTTGTTTACATAATACTGTATCGAGAGCTTTCACCAAAAATTCAGTGTGCAGAATTATGGGGGAGCAGTTTTCACTCAGCCCTGGTGAAATGCCCAGCTCCATTTGTCCGGTTCCAGATTCATCTGTGCATTTCTTATACACACTCAAAACAACCTCCATAAACTTTGATTGCATCGATAAACAAAGCATTGTGGCTTTGCTGAAAATACATCCTCAGATCAAGGGTGGCTTTGTTTTCCCCAGGGTAACGCCAGAGATAAAACGCAGGTGCTCTGCCAATGAGATACAGAAGCCCTCCCTCTGTAGGGGACCAGTTTGAATTTTTGCATGGCAATAATCTGTGCCTGCTCCATGGACCACCTGCTCCATGGACCACCATCCATTAAGGAGCATCTTCTCCTGCACTTGATATTTTGAGAGCAAGGTCATTTAAGGCAGGGGAGAAGACCTCAGAGCTTCTCTATCTTGACACATATGGCTTGGGGAAATAGAGCCAGCCTTTCCCATCTATAATCTTCAGTGTTCTTCCATTACAATTGTTCTGAGGACATGAATCCAGCAAAGCCCAAGCCTTCACAGGTTCAAAGACTTTTACTGTCTATTCTCAAGCTGTTCTTCTGCCAACAGCCTGGCAGAAATGGCACTCCAGGTTTCTTGAAGTCCATCGAGGCATCCGCGGGCTTCAGATCATCAAGTATACAAAGCCTGAAACACATCTGCTTCCTGGTGTGCTTAAGTGTCCTGTTTACATTGCACTTTCATGGGAACGGTCGAGGAAACTTGGAAAAGAAACCATTGGTGGCTCCAGATCTTCTGCTTGCAAATACGGAAGGGCGATTTCATCTAGTCCAGAGAGCAAGCTGTAATCCTGGGCAAAGCGAAAGTATTCAATCAGTCTCATTTCCTAACACGGACAAGAGCTATGCATAAGCCTGGCTTCCACAGAAGCTCAGCAAAGCTGTATTGACGGAAGAATCTGCATTTCCTAAGGATATTAGCTTTAATTTAAAAACAAAACAAAAAGGAAGGGCATTTCTACTTTTGAAGGTTGCAATGATATACGAGGCAGGGGAGCGGGTACTGACTAATCAACCCCCAAAGCCCCAGGGGCTGCTGAAGAAGACTCTCAGGGGGCAAAGGTGGGACTTCAGTGTCCCCTACAGCCTACTGCCAAGGCTGGGTTCTGCAAGTCTGCAACAGTAGCTGGCTATGCCAAGTACTGTACAGATTGCCTGGTGCTTTGTAATGCCATGTATTCACCTTCTCTCCTGCCCTCAATCCCTAGAGTTATTTTGCAACTTCATTAGTGTGATCTGGGCTTAAAAAAATATAACAATGAGGCAATGTGTGTAAGTTTCATTTAATTAAAGGATACAATTTTTTGCATTTTTTCCCCTAACTGTAAGTTTTTAAGCTCTGTTTAAAGTTGTTTTTTAAACTGTTGCAACCAAGCATGGGAACTTAGATACAGTGGTACCTCGGGTTAAGAACTTAATTCGTTCCGGAGGTCTGTGCTTAACCTGAAACTGTTCTTAACCTGAGGTACCACTTTAGCTAATGGGGCCTCCCGCTGCTGCTGCCGCCACGCTGCCAGAGCACGATTTCTGTTCTCATCCTGAAGCAAAGTTCTTAACCCGAGGTACTATTTCTGGGTTAGCGGAGTCTGTAACCTGAAGCATATGTAACCTGAAGCGTCTGTAACCCAAGGTACCATTGTAGTAGTAGTAATAATAATAATAATAATACAGTTATACCTCGGGTTACAGACGCTTCAGGTTGTGTTTTTTTGGGTTACGGACGCGCCAAAAGCCGGAAGTACCGGAACGGGTTTCTTCCGGGTTTCAACAGTTGCGCATGCGCAGAAGGACTAAATCGCACTTTGCACATGCACAGAAGCGCTGAATCGCAACCCACGCGTGCGCAGACGTGGTGCTGCGCGTTGCGAACGTGCCTCCCGCACAGATCACGTTTGCAACCCGAGGGTCCACTGTAATAGAGAATTAGGTTCTCCTTTAAATGATGCAAACTGGAACTGAATTTCTCCCACATTCCTACTCCCAAGTAACAACAACAACAACTGATTATTTATGCCCCGCCCATCTGGCTGGTTTTATGACTGAATGCTTCGTTCTCTTTCCTTTCTGTCTGTCATCCATAATACTTAAGGACCACACACACAAAAACTGGCAAAGCAACCAATCCTCTTGCAGTCTCCCTGCCACCCTTTTCACCAACCCAATAGAATTACCTGCTGCCTTTGGGACCTGTGAGTTTGGAAAAAACACATCAGTTCACTATTTTGCTGGACTTTTGCAAAATAATTTGAAACTCGACTTGATGAGTTTGTTCCCTAGGAAAAGAATAAGAGGGTAGTCATAGTCCCCTGGTCTGGATACAGCTTTTGCGTAGACATTATGCTCAGAGGAGATCCCAGCAAAACATGTCAACGAAAGAACATACATGTATCAAGAAGACTACGTATCTCTGGAACCAAGAGCAATTTAATACATGGGTTCCTAGCAGAGTGGCAGTGTGTCCTGCTTTAGGAGAATAGCTGCTTTAAATGCACATTTTACACCTGACTTCCTCTAGTAATGCTTTCTTTTGAAAGGTTTAATATAATTTGCTTTGTCAGCTTTGCTGTGTTAAATGTTCGTTCTGTACTTGATTTACTTTGCAACATTTTATTTTGAAATCTTTAAGCTACTATTTTAAGTTTCCTGTTAATTATGCTGCTTTGAATGTATATTTTATATTTGACTACCTTCAGCAATATTTTATTCCAGAGTGTTTCATTTGATGCTTTAATGTGTAGTAAACTGCTTTCAGATTTTTTGCTTAAAAATATAAAGCAATATAGAAATGAAAGGAACAGTAATAAAAACAACTTAGGTCCACTAATTTTAATGGGTTTGCTCTGAGTAGAAGTTAGTTAGCTACCATCCACTATTTCCAAATTTGTATCTATGCACATGATTTACCGACACCAATTTTATGCCAGTTGGCACTCTCTTTTGTAGTACAGTCATACCTTGGAAGTCGAATGGAATCTGTTCTGAAAGTCCGTTCGACTTCCAAAATGTTCAGAAACCAAAGTGCAGCTTCTGATTGGCTGCAGGAAGCTCCTGCAGCCAATCAGAAGCTGTGGAAGCCCTGTCGGACGTTCAGCTTCCAAAAATAGTTCACAAACCGGAACAGTCACTTCTGGGTTTGCGGCGTTCGGGAGCAGAAAGGTTCGAGAACTAAGCTGTTCGAAAACCAAGGTACGGCTGTACCACAAATCCTTTTTTTAAAAAAAAAAAGTGTGGAAAGCCTCTGACAGTTGGCAAAACTCTCTTTTCTGATAGGAGAAAGGATACAAGTGAGCAGAAGGGGAAAGACCTGGAAAGAAAAAGACCCTACACCCACTCCAAAACCCTTCATAAAATCAAGCTACATTTCCGTTTGAGACCAAAGCACTTACTTGCTCCCATGGGTTGGCTCCCATTTGTATCAAGCACTTGATACCACTCAGTATCTGATCCTTACGGAGGTTCAGAAGCTTCCATGTCTCAGCCGAGAGATGGCGGCTGTCCGAGTCCATCGCGAGAGCGCAGTGAGCCAAACCCGCGCACTGTATTGGCGTTAAGCCTGTTTAGAGAGGAGCAGAAGGAGCATTAGACACTGCAGGCCAAACCAGACGTGTGCTTAGCATGTAGCATGCGTTTTGCTCTCTATTCAATAATTATAGGCATGTGCCTGTCCAATTCACAGTGAGGAAAACAACAGAGAGTGGAGGCTCGTATCATCACTTTCTCACTGTGGTTGGAACAGAGATCCCATCTCTTTCCCTGTGTGCTACTGGGAGACTGAGGGAGGGAATATCATTGGGGGGGGAGGGAATAGATACGTTCCCCCCCCATCACACACATTGCCTTCCCTGTAAACATTGGGCTCCCCCATGTCTGCAGTTAATTAAGGAAAAGCAAGATATGTGGCTGGTTTCTATGTATTAGGTCAGCCTTTCTCAACCTGTGGGTCCCCAGATGTTGTTGAACTACAACTCCCATCACCCCTAGCTAGCAAGGCCAGAGCTCAGGGATGATGGGAGTTGTGGTCCAACAACATCTGGGGACCCACAGGTTGAGAACTGCTGTATTAGGTGCATGCCTTGATTGACAGATTGTATCCTAAGAAGCAGGAAGAGAGTTCCCTATCCTCACCAAACTTCTCCACATACCCTCATTGTCGGTTGCGTCTACTTCAACGTGGATGCCAACTTCCTGACAGCTTTTCAAGACCTGCCATGGAAAAAGAGACGTGGCTACTTTAAATATCCTGACTTCAGGCCGCAGTAAGAGTGGACCAAACAGCTGCAAAAAGATAGGCATGGACAAATCTCTCAAGTGTTGGTTTCTCTCCGTTTCTCATTTTTCTAATCTTAAATTTAGGTCGCATTTCTGCAGAACGTTGCGATTTTTTATAATAATAAAAAATGGTACAAATTCACCAGTATTTAGTGCAAAACTCTTATAATAAACACATTTTTGTATGCAGTTTTGACATATATACATACATATTTCTGCAAGCAGTTTCCCTAGATACCATACATTTCCCACAATATTTTTATTAATATATGCATGTATATGCACACTTTACTTACACACACACACACACACACACACACACACACACATTTTTGTACACAGTCCTTGGCTGGAGAACTTCATTGCAAAATTCAGAGTGGTAGTAATTTTGAAGCATGGCTGTACTTCAGTCTGCACATTGTTTCAGGAAGTACAGTGGTACCTCAGGTTAAGTACTTAATTCATTCCGGAGGTCCGTTCTTAACCTGAAACTGTTCTTAACCTGAAGCACCACTTTAGCTAATGGGGCCTCCTGGTGCCACCGTGCCGCCGGAGCACGATTTCTGTTCTCATCCTGAAGCAAAGTTCATAACCCAAGGTACTACTTCTGGGTTAGCGGATTCTGTAACCTGAAGCGTCTGTAACCCGAGGTACTACTGTACAGATTAGGTAGGTTTGGGTTTAAAGGTGACCTGGATTGAATTTCTCCCCCATCCCTACCTCAAATTAATAGACATATAACCCAGCCAGGCCCCACTTTCAAACTCTACTTACTTCCAAGACTCTCAGATAACCCTTCTCAGCACAGAGGTGCAAGGGAGTCTTCTCTGAGCTGTCCCTCGCGTTTACATCAGCACCCAGAGACAGCAGATCGCTGGCAATAAGATGATGGTTCTTTTGAGCTGCTATGTGCAATGCAGTCTTCGAAGGATTAAAAAAAAGATGGGGAAGGAGGGATAGAAATTTTGAGCAATTCACAAATGAGAGTAGCACCTTGTCACTGTGTTGTTAATATCACAACTGCTGCAATTTAGCAAGCAATAATCTTTACATCCATGCAAAGGGAAGAGGACCTGTGCCCCCCTGCTCTTCTAGGATGCTGCTAGACTACAATTCCCATTTCCTGATCGCTGGCCAAGCTGACTGGGGCTGACTGGAGTTGAAGTCCTAGCATATCTTGACAGCCACAGATTCCTCTTCTCTCCTCGAGGCTGTATGAGTTTCTACCACTAGTAGAGGAACAAGTGCAAGAGCAGTATCAAAAGCTGGCTTTCAATTAACGTGAATTAGCGTTAGGGAGTGTGGCCTAGAAAAAAGTAAGACCCGCCATTCCATTTCCCCTTATGGGCTCCCTCCCCTTGCACCTTAAGATACTTATCATTCACAGACCAGTGAAAACACTCTTTTTCTGTTGACCTTTTGGGGATTAGTGGACAAATGGTTTCTGCATTTTTAAAAAATGCAGCTTGCAACTTTTCACTAAACCCCCTATATTCACTAAACCCTCTATTTCATGTGGTCCATTTCTATAAAATTACCGACAGCTGCCCTGCAAACAGCCTTCTGCTAAAAAGCAGCTCATACCTGTTTCGCTGCGTTCTTCCCATCAAGTCTGTTGAGATGTGCAAACCTCCTTGCCAGTGCATATGCCAGCGCCCTTTTCCCCTGAGAAACAGCATTGTGAAGAAGCCTGGGCAGAAGGGGAGAGAAAAAGAGAGGAGTTTTGGTTTGGTTTCAGTAATGCCACAGGTGGTTCCAGGCCCTCCTAGTGTCCCTATTTTCCAAGGACAGTCCTGGATATACAGAAGCTGCCCTGGTTTCTGATTTGATCCAGGAATGTCCCTCTTTTCCTTAGGACGTCCCTATTTTCATTGAAGAAATGTTGGAGGATATGGAGTTATGCAACCCCAGAGCCAAGGAGACAAGTAACTATGCAACCTTTGGAAGACATCCGAAGGAAGCTGTCTAGGAATTTTTTTTAATGTTTAATGTTTTATTATGTTTTTATATACAGTGGTACCTCAAGTTACATACGCTTCAGGTTACATACGCTTCAGGTTACAAACTCCGCTAACCCAGAAATAGTACCTCGGGTTAAGAACTTTGCTTCAGGATGAGAACAGAAATCGTGCTCCGGCAGTGCGGCAGCAGCAGGAGGCCCCATTAGCTAAAGTGGTGCTTCAGGTTAAGAACAGTTTCAGGTTAAGAACGGACCTCGGAACGAATTAAGTACTTAACCTGACGTACCACTGTATGTTGGAAGCTGCCGAAAGTGGCTGAGGCAACGCTGTCATATAAGCGGGGCATAAATAATAAAGTTGTTGTTGTTGTTGAATAAGATGCCCTATTTTCATCAGAGAAATGTTGGGGAGTATGTGGTTTTGCAAAACAGAGAGAAACAGCAAGGGAGGAGAGGCAGCTTGAAATCAAATGAGAGCTTCTGCTGCTGGGCAAATGTCAAAAGGATATTTTCACAGGCTCATAGGAAGTTGCCTCCCACTGAGATGCCGGGGATTGAACCTAGAACCTTCTGCATGCAAAGCAGATGCTCTTCCACTGAACTATGGCCCTTCCTCAGATACGATCCCCACCCCTACTATTTGCAAATTTAACAAAAGGTAACATAGGAAGTGGCTTTATGCTGAGTCAGGCCATTGGTCAATCTAGTTCAATACTGTCTACACTGACTGGCAACATCTCTCAAGGATTGCAGATGAGAAAACTCCTTCCTCCGCATGGAGATTAATCTTGTGGGGAACTGGATTTAGGACTAGCAAAACATGAAACCAAAATGGGGGGGGGACCCCACTCCATCCCCAGATATCTATCCAAGCCCCAATACTTTCTTCCTTGGAGGTTTTTAAGGCAGAGGCTGGTTTGGTCATTTGTCATGGCTGCTTTAGTTGAGATTCCTGCATTGCAGGGGGTTGGACTAGATGACCCTCAGGGTCCCTTCCAACTCTACAATTCTATGATTCCATGATACATAGAATCATAGATTCTATACATCGCAGCGGTATGCTGGTTCAAAGTTATACAGTTTCAAAATAAGGGGCACCGCCTCGCTTTGACTCAGCTCTGAAAGATGAAAGGGATTTCCCTTTATTTTAGATCTAAGATTTAGAAGCAAATATTTGAAATAGAAACATACACATTTCTACTGAAATGGCTCATAAAACGTTGCTTTGTTTTGTCCCAGTTCCAGAGAATAGGCCCTCTGAGTTCTCTGGAAGTCTCCTCCCTGTTCCCTTATCAGTGACCTGACGCTGCTGGATAACCTCCCCATACAGATTTATGGCCATCATGTTTGAAAATAAGGAAGGAAAGAAAATCGATGACAGAGAAGCACCATCAGCTTCTGCCACTCCAAGAACAATGATAATGACATACGGTGGTACCTCAGGTTACATACGCTTCAGGTTACATACGCTTCAGATTACAGACTCCGCTAACCCAGAAATAGTGCTTCAGGTTAAGAACTTTGCTTCAGGATGAGAACAGAAGTTGTGCGGCGGTAGCGGGAGGCCCCATTAGCTAAAGTGGTACCTCGGGTTAAGAACAGTTTCAGGTTAAGAACTGACCTCCAGAACGAATTAAGTTCTTAACCCGAGGTACCACTGTATTGGTAAGTTAGCAATAAGAGGAATAGTAAAATTAGTGCTGTGGCTGAGAGGATAAGCAGAGGGCTTAGTCCCCAACACATCTATAATATGGGGATAATAGCACCCATAAACCTGCTTGGACCAACTATCTAGCAGTAATATAGCTTCCAGGTTTCCCAAACCCTTTTTCAAGATAGATCAGCCTTCACGAAGTTGGTGAAGGCTGATTATGTTTTGGACTACAACTCCCAGGCTGGTGCTGATGGGACTTGTAGTCCAAAACATCTGGAAGGCACCAGCTTGGTAAAAGCTGTGCTATTTTATTTTTAAAATGGGGGTAAAAGTAAGAAAAAGCTGGATGTGATGGAAAGTCCTCAAGGACTGTGGTTTTTAGCAGTCGAGAGTGCAGGAGATATTATTCAGACTGAATTGTTAGATCGTGCTGGGTGTAGCAGGGAGTTCCGATTGCCCCAGGGGCTGCTGGGGCAAAGAAACATAGTGGAAGATCTCCTTTCACCCTTAAAAAATATAAGGGGCAGTTGTTCTTCAGGTCTGCCTCTGGTGCTAAGTGGAAAACAAGTCACGTCCTTGTAAGGCAGAGAGCAGGAGTAAAAACCTAAGAAAAAGTGTGTGGTGGTGTGTTAGCAATGCTGGAGATTCCTTTTAAGTGACATGCTGGTTGAAGACTAAAAAAAGCCAGCTGGAGTAGTATTACCTAGTGATTACAGGGCATGCAGACACCAGAAACAAGACCCCAGCTTTAGCTGTAGTTCAGTATTATAGCATCTGCTTTACATACAGAAGGTTCCAGTTTCAGTCCTAGGTACCTACTGGTAAAACTGGGAGAGATTTCTTTTGGAAACCCTGGACAGCCACTGCCAGACAGTATATGCAATATTCAGCTAGATCAGGCAACCTAAGGCTCGGGGGCTGGATGCGGCCCAATCGCCTTCTCAATCCAGCCGGCGGACGGTCCGGGAATCAGCGTGTTTTTACATGAGCAGTAGAATGTGTCCTTTTATTTAAAATGCATCTCTGGGTTGTTTGTGGGGCATAGGAATCCATTCATCCCCCCCCCCCAAAAAAATAGTCCGGCCCACCACATGGTCTGAGGGACGGTGGACCAGCCCATGGCTGAAAAAGGTTGCTGACCCCTGAGCTAAATGGACCTAGTGGCCTGCCTCTAGAAGGCAGCTTCCTTTTTAAATTAGCCCTTTATTCCAGCCCATGAGGACTAGAATCTTCCTTTATTTTTAAGGGAAGAGATCTAACCCAGTGGCAGAGCACCTGCTTTGTGTACAGATGGTATCTCTCAGTAGGGGTGGGAGAGAACCCTGTCTGAAATTCTGGTCAATGCCAGTCAGTGTAGACAATGCTGAGCTAGATGGCCCTATGGACTTAGAAGTTTCCTATGATATATCTATAAGAAAGCCATTGTCCTCCAGATACAGGATCCCTTCCTTGGATGGTTTAAAACTTGAGTTTTTATGGCGGAAATGACTGGCAGAATCCGTGACCAGGGAGAAGAGTTGGTGGAAGAAGATTGGAAGAAATTCAAAGAAATATTGCAAAATTAATGAATGTTAGAGTGATGTTGGATTGAAATTAAATGGTTTCTAGCTGCACAGGCTTTAAAGTTATATATAGATTAAGATTAAGGATTAGGAATAAAAAGGTTAAAAGAATGGAAAATTGGCTATTAATAGATAAAAATTTAATGTTTACTATATTAAGATTAAGGATTGGGATTAAAAAAGAGGGAAAGGAATTGCTGGACAAATAAACTGAATTGGAATACAAAAGAGGGAGGTATGAGGAGGTCCAGAAAATAAGTAAATTTAAAAGTAGTGATGAAAAGATGGAATTGTTTTTAACTGTTTTTTTTTATTATTTTGTATTGTGTATTTTTCTTTTTACTGTTAAATTCTTTTTTATCGATGTGTCTCTTTTTATCTGAAACTTTAATAAATATCATTTTTTTAAAAAAAAAACTTGAGTTTTTAAACCACGGCTTTTACTAAAATTCATTACCAAATTCTTCCCTTCCCTTTCTCCCTAGTTATTGGTATTTGGCTTCAAGTTTGTTGGGGCAGGGAACTGCCCCCTCCTCACTTTTGTTTTGCACATGTTACTCTGAACATTGCAATGGACATTGGTCAGAAAGTAAACACAAACTCACAGCAGCTCTCAGGAAACATCTGTGAACTGCAATGAAATGAAACAAAGGCCATGGGGAAAAGGTAGCAAGAATTGTGGGGCATATAACCATTCCATCACCCAAGTTACAACGGGTTTTGTTAAAAGATGTTTTAACTTTTTTAAGTATTGTCACCAGAAAGAGGAGGAGTATCAAGAAGAGTGGATTAAGTTTAAAGATTATTTAGTTAAATATGTTAAGTTAAATTAACTGAAAACAGCTTGCAGATACTTAATTGGTTTAGGATTTTATTTAGGTTAAGTGATGAATTAATATGTTTAATTTCATAAAGTGAAGATTTAAGGATGTTAATGTTTAAGTTAAATTTTATAAGAATTATGATTTGGGAAACCGTTAAAAGGATATGCAATGAAATTCAACCAAAGGGAAGTGGGGAAGTCACTTACAAAGTTAATAAGTGCAATTTTCAATAAGGCTATGATTTATGTCTGTTTGTCTTATGTGTTTGTTTGTTTGTAATACTGTGAAAACCAATAAAAAAATTGATTTTTTTTAAAAAAATAAAGTATTGTCAGGTGCAAAACCAAACCACTGACCAACCTGTTCCCATTTCTATCCGGCATGAGCAGCTTGTCCACTGAGATACCCCTGAGCCGACTCTCCTCGCGGCAGAGCTGGAATTGGAAGAAAGAAATGGTGGGAGCCTCCTGGTCCATGGAAGACCACGCACTTGCCTTCAGGCATCCCCTGCCATGCAAGGCAGCAGTGTCCTCTTCCAAAGTCTCTGGCAAAGCCTGCCCCAGTGGGTCGTGGCAGTGAGGCCTAATCTCCTTGGCAAAGCCTTGGGAACTCTCCCCAGGATGTTCAACAGACCCATTCCCCAGCCGGCATCTTTCTTCCACGCAGGAATTCTGGAATGTGTCGACCAGATCCAGACGTTGTTGCGTCCTTCTGCACTCAAATCCATAGGAAATCTCAGCACGTGGATGAGGCAATGCGCCTGAAGCAGACAACGGCTGAAATCCGACAGGCTCCCAGCTGCTTCTCAGCCAGTTGCCATCTGGTTGTGAGTTGCCGTTGGTTTCCCACCAGGGAGGCTGAAATCCCTGGGTTGCACCATGCGGGAACTGCATAGGCAACTGAGGCTCTAGCTTGGAGTGGCTCTTGTTCAGGTCTTCCTGAAGTACTTCGACTAGGATGTCCAAGTCCTCCGTGCTTTTTAAGGCTGTCTGAGCCTGACAGCAGTTCTTTAAAAAGAAGAGAAAGAAATGAATGTGTGAGGTCTGCGGTCTGATTTGCTTGGGAAATGCTGGCTACGGAAGAGAGAAAGTGTCCCACATACTTGCTTGTCATGCCTTTCTGAGCGAGCTCTTTTTTTCCCTGTACAGGAAGAAAGAAATATATAAATATCCATAGGTATTCACTTACCAAAACAATTAAAGCAAGGGTTTCTGCATGTAGGGTTGCCCCATACATACGCACACAAGTTTTTTTCTTTTTTTTTACCTGCTCTTCCTGAAGACCTTTTGGTATTTGCTTTTGCAGGTGTTTCCTATGGAAAGAAAAAAAATGTATTTGGGAAATTATGAACCTTGATTAGATGGATCAGCCTCAACCTAGTGCCCTCCAGAGGTTTTGGACTATAACTCCCATCAGTCCCGGCCAGCACAGTTGTAGACAGACTGCCTGGGATGTCTCATTGACTGGGGCAAAAGCTGGAAAAAATGGCAGTGACACAAGCAGGGGAACCCCTGTGATCTCAAGGTGATCCCTTCTACAAATCGAGCTTCAGTTGTAGCCAACTTTTCTCTTCCAGAGAAGTAGCCCATAAACTCACACTTTTAGTGTGTGACTCTTAGTGGAAGGATAGATGTCAATACTGAACACAAAGTTTGATTCCCTGACCACTATTCCACCAGTACTAGAAAAGTGAACCAGGGTGTTTTCAGACAGGGTCATAATTGGTAAACGGGTTTTGGCATTAAGTGGTGTGTAAATTAACTGAAAGCTAATACTACAAAAAACAGCAACAAGCAATAATTTAGCAAAATGAGCAAGAGGGTAAAGGAAATATTACTGGCATGGAATCCTATCAGAGGTGATACCACCAGGAAGGAACAGGAATGAAAGGGTAGGAATTAGTCACCTTTTAGGAAAAATTATTACTGTATAGCATTTGGGGCACTTTTAGTGGAGAATGTGGTCGATTATTTGCAAGTATGGAAGAGTGGGAGACAGACAGGAATGACCTAAGGGACAGAACCCAAGGGGAAATTCTCTTGTACAGACACCACTGAGATTAGCAGGCACTGTAGGCCTTTCCTCCAATGATGCTTGTGCAGGAGATCTCCCCTTTGCGCTGTGTCTGCAGCTGCTAATCCTCTTTAATAAGCACTCTTGACAATGTTGTGCTTGACAAAGGGCTTATACCGTATTTTTTGCCTTATAGGACGCACTTTTTCCCCTCCAAAAATGAAGGGGAAATGTGTGTGCGTCCTATGGGGCGAATGCAGGCTTTCGCTGAAGCCTGGAGAGTGAGAGGGGTCGGTGCGCACCGACCCCTCTCGCTCTCCAGGCTTCAGGAAGCTCTGCACAACCCTCGGGAGACCAGCGCGACTTCGCGCCGGGCTCCCGAGGGCTGGGCAGAGCTGCCTGCACTCCCGGGCTCCGTGCAGCTCTGCACAACACTAGGGAGCCCGGCGGGAAGTCGCACTGGGCTCCTGAGAGCTGCGCAGAGCTGCCTGCAGTCCCGGGCTTCGCGCAGTTCTGCGCAACACTAGGGAGCCCAGCGGAAAGTCGCGCCAGTCTCCCGAGGGTTGTGCAGAGCTGCCTGCATTTTGAAGCCTGGAGCACGCTGAAGAGCGCTCCTGGGCTTCGCGCAGCTCTCCGCAAGCCTGGGGAGACCGGCATGACTTCCCGCCGGGCTCCCCAGGCTTGCGGATAGCAGGCTGTTCTCGGGGCTGGGGTCGGGGGAAGCTCGAATGTTTTTTCTTTATTCCCCCCCCCCAAAAAAACTAGGTGCGTCCTATGGGGCGGTGCGTCCTATGGGGAGAAAAATACGGTATATAACGTGACAGCAGAGGAAGCCATATAAAGGGAAAGCTGCCTTAGCACTTGTACCCCCAGAAGATTGCTGTAGCCTGTGGGAAAACATCTGCAAGTTGCAAAGATCTGCTCCTGCCAACCTAGCAGTTCAAAAGCATGTCAAAGTGCAAGTAGATAAATAGGTACCGCTCCGGCGGGAAGGTAAACGGCGTTTCCGTGCGCTGCTCTGGTTCGCCAGAAGTGGCTTAGTCATGCTGGCCACATGACCCAGAAGATGTATGCCGGCTCCCTCAGCCAGTAAAGCGAGATGAGTGCCACAACCCCAGAGTCGGTCATGACTGGACCTCATGGTCAGGGGTCCCTTTACCTTTACCTTTACCCCTGTTCTATGGAATGGCACTTTCCAGATACAACTGAAAATGTTTTCTTTGTTCCAACAGGCTAAATAAATGAGTCTTTGCCACGAGTGTCTGTTTTGTACAGGCAGCATCCATTTGCATGGGGGCGCGTTCCATTCCTGGCCCCCACATGCGTTGGCAGAGCACACATAAGCCAGTTCCGTTCCTACCCCTGCCTCTTCCAGGCCCAAAAGGACCCACACATCGGTGGTCATGCATCAACTGCACACACCTAAAATGGTCTCCACCTGCACAGGATTGTTTTAGTTTTATTTTAAAGGTATCCACTGTTTTTAATAAATGAATGACAATGATGAAAGGAAACGGGGCAGGAAGAACATGGAGTTAATTAATGGAAGGAAGTGTGCATCTCCATCTTGGGAATCATAATAATTTGGGTTGGCCCCATAGCCTAGCAAAACCAGGGAAGGTGCAAGGGGCATCTCACAGTGGGAACAGCCCAATCCTCATTATCCTCATGCTCAGGAAATGGGGTGGGTATCTTACCCTGATGTCACTGGACTCTGTCCCTTTGGAGAGACGGATTTTTCTCAGCAGTTCACACACTGGCATTTTTACCCTCACGCCCACATACTGCTTCTGAGGGGCACCCCCAGTCAGTGCTGAACCTGGAAAAATAAATAAATCAAAAGGTGGTGACATGCATTTACAGAGGGCCTGATCCATGCTTCTCAGCTGGTGTTCCCAAAGCAGAATATAAACACCACTGGATAAACCAATAATTTTTAAAATATATATATCAAAATTTAAATAATTAAAAATGTTTTTTTTAAAAAAACAACAACCACCCAGAACATAAACAATGGCATCTGATGTTCTGTGAAGCTGGGAATCTTTAGCAGAGTTTTTTTCCTCCTTGCTAAAGTACAATTCCTAGGATGCTTTGGACGGAAGCCATGATGGCAAAAGGGGAATGAAAGCAATTTTTTCAGTATAGAGAAGACCTCAGTGGTGCCCAGCTATGCCCTTTGGCAGGTAATGCAATCATTTCTACTCTTGTGCACTTGTTTGGAGGAAGGTTTTGTTTAGGAGCTGTGTATTTCAGCATACTGGCCCTGCAATATGCTTTTATTTCTCTCACCTGAGTGGGTGATTGAAATACTTTTGCTACCATAGTGGATTCCACCAGCCTTTGCATATTCACTGACAACAGGAAATTCCTTGAAATCCTGCCAATTTCAAAATGCTTGGCACTCAAAAGGACTCCCATGAATAATGATAAGCATCTTATTAATCAAGTCTTCCTATCACTACCATCAACACTTCTAGGAACTGGTCATGGAGAACAATGTTTGGGCCCAGAGCCTGCCTGCAAAAAAAGAGAACATTGCAATCCCAGTTTGGGGATGGGCAAATCTGTCAATGTGGGTTTCTCATTTTCCCCCAATCTTAAGTTCAGTTCTCCACATTTTCACATCAGTTTGCATTAAAAAAAAAAGTTCTAATGAAAATTCACCACTATTTTAAGGTGTATTTCTCTTAATACACACTTTTTTATATCATAATCTTGCCCCAAATACACATTTTTGCAAATCAATGTTTCCTAATAGAACACATTCCTGAATTTTATCCTCACCAACTGATGCATTTTTATGCCCCCAGTACCCTAGAATCTCCATTTCTGTACATATTACCTGGCTGGAGAGACACACTGCAAAATTTGGGGAAGTGCAGGTTGTGAAGGATGCCTGTGCTTCAGTGCAGGTATTGCTTAGGAAAGTGCAAATTAGGTAAGTCAGCCTTGAAATGTGAACTAAATGGAATCTCTCTCCCTCAATCATATCCTAGGATCTGGGACCAAGCTCTGTGGACCTTGTGGTGGGGGTTCTGAGGTTTCTCTCAGTAAAGATGCATGAGGTTGAGGTGCAACTTTCCTCTCCAGATGTCTCAATTGTAATACTAACGGTCTCTGTGAAATGGGTCCTCATTTCACAGTTATTAGCTGCACTTGTCCGTATGGAATTCAATTCTTGTTATAGCCTTGAAAGGCTCAGCAACTCAGTAAATTTGGAAGTGACACCAAAAGTCATCCAGTGACATCTGAAGTGAAAATGTTTTATGAAGAGGGGTAGCATATTGGTCAGGAGCCTGGGCTGGGAGTTCTTTCAAACCTCACCTCTGCTATCCAGCTCTCTACAAGACATATGCACACCACAGAATTAAACTGATTTAACTTCTATATCCTCATATTAGAGTGCTAGGAATTTTAGCTGCAGAGAGCTAGGAATATCTAACAGAGCATTCTCAGTCCCTCACATCAAACTACAGTTCTCAGGATTCTTTCAGGGAATCCACAATGGTTAAAGTGGTATAAAACAGATAAAAGTTTGAAAATGTGGAAACACCCTGGGTGTCCGTAAGCAAGCTACTCATTCCCACTCTCATGTCCTCTGCCAGAAATATGGGCTACCAAGGCTGACCAAACCTTTCCAGAGGTTTGGAAATAATACTGATACAGTGCATCTGAAGTGCTTTGAACACTGGGCTTACATAACGTATTAGGATAATGGTGCTTTCACAATCAAAATCCACTTTGAGCCTCTTTCCTGTCATTTGTGACACATGTGGACACCATTAACATGGGGCAGAATGCAAAACAAAGCCGCAGTCAATTTGCACGCCCCATCCGTCTAATGCAGAATGCAGATGTGCACAGTTCACTTCTGTGTTCTTCCAAAAACACTGCAGGAAATCCCCTTCACAGTGCAGGCCAATAGAGATTGCAACACACTTATATAGGAAGCTGCCTTACACTCCATAAAACCATCGGCCTGCCTAGCTCAGTACTGTTTGCACAGACTTGCAGTGGCTCTCAAGGATTTCTGGCACAGAATCTCTCTAAGCTCTCCCTGGATTTGCCAGGGATTGAGCCAGGGACCTTTTGCATGCACACCAGGTGCCCTACCCCTAAGTTACGGCCCTTCCCTTATATACCAAGGGCACTTCCTATATACAGTGGATGCTCAGGTTGCAAACATGATCCATGCGGGATGCACGTTTGCAACCTGCAGCGTTCGCAACCCGCAGTGGTGCGTCTGCGCACGCGCGGGTTGCAATTTGGCGCTTCTGCGCATGCGCGACCGCTGAAACCTGGAAGTAACCCGTTCCAGTACTTCCGGGTTTCAGCGGGTCCATAACCCAAAAAAACGCAACCTGAAGCGTCTGTAACCTGAGGTATGACTGTACTCAGGTCACTATCCTCAGGGAATTTCTCTTGTATATTAACATATGTAACAAGCAGCAGGTCAGAAATCAATCTGTTTTCTTGCCTGATGAAATGACCGCAAATCATGTTGCACGACAGTATTCAATTATGCACAGAAAGGTTTCATCTTACCTCTCCTGGCAGGCAGCTCCTGAACCTTAGCTGGAGATGTATTCCAGGTAGTGGATTCCACACTGCTGAGTTCGGTTAATCCAGAAGCTGGTAAAGATGGGCTCTGTTGAAAATAGCTTTTGGGACTGGCTGTTTCCCCTGGCATAGGAGACCCCTGGTCCTCTGCATAGCCATAACCTTCCTTGGCACAGATATCTGGGCTGGCTGTCAATAGCTGGGTATCCGATTGAACTACTTTCACCAGTGCTTCCATCCTGCAGAAAGAAGATTACATTCCCTCGATGAGGCTCACTTTCCTACTCATTGCCAAGGGTGCATGATTCCGCATGTGAGCGCCATCACTGTCCAAACTAAACTCCCACTTACTGGGAGGAATTCTGGGTGGTGACCAAGCTTAGGTTGTCTGTTCCCCTATGGTAGAAGCTGGTGGAGGCAGCATCCTCTGACTTTACTTGCTCATGAAAGCAAGCGGGGAAATATTTACAGGATAAAATCAATCTGGGTTGTAACCTGTCAGGTTCTGGAAGCCGTTTCTGGGTGTTTCAAAGCCTGTTCCCTGCCTACTTTTAAAAAAAGAAAAAGAAAAAGGTAATTTATACCCAGGTAACTCTGGATAGACGTCAGTTGTCAGTAAGAAACCACACCCTGTTTCCCAATTAAGCTGTAGAAGCAGCTGACTGACAGATAACGTAGGCGGCAAAAGGCAGAAAAACAATGCAAAAAACGTAATTGGCAGCGGCAGGTAGCTAATATTAAACAGCTGCACAGAATGATCCTGTTAGCAGATTGCAAGGGGAAGCAAACATCTTGCACTCTGTTATACAACTCGTTCACCCCAGACTGAAACCTTGCAGTCTAAGGTACTGCTCACAGCTCACAGTTTGCTCAAGGTCCTCAAAAACTACATGCTCTGACTGCTTCCCCTCCGCAGTCTAGTGTTTCCACTAGAGGGGAACAACCTTCCCATTCAAAAGCACAGAGAGATTCACAGCTATCAGGAGTCCCCTAGGGTTACCATGGTAACTATTCAGTCACTACTGCCTCAAGGGAAGGAACTAGGCCTCAAGCCTGCCCTCCATTTAATAAAACATTCTGCCTACAGTTCCAGTTGTGTGAATATAGGAAGGTGCCTTATACTAGCAGGCAACTGGTCATTGCCCGCACCAGTGGTAGTAACCCAGTGGTCCTGTGCCAGTCAGTGGGCAGGGATGATGGGAGGTGAAGGTCCTCTCCATCCCAATGTGGTCCTAAATCTTTCCCCCTTTTAATGTGCCCCCCTCCCCCACATTTCTTGGAAAGTTTAAAAAAATAGGCCAGGATTGCATTTGCAATTAGGACACAGCTGAGGGCCAGCAGCAGGGAACAAGTGTGCAGGCTGAACCCCAGAACAATTTCCCTCCATTGTATCGGGACACAACCACAACAAAATATTATCGTTTCTTCTTCTTATGAAGCAACAGTGCAATCGTACATGTCTTTGCTTTAGCAATCAGCTTCAAGGGTGAAAGGGGACCCCTCAGCAAAGTTCTAGCAGCTGGGACTCAATACTAAATTACTGAGTATTGTGGTTAAAGGTAAAGGTAAAGGAACCCCTGACCATTAGGTCCAGTCGAGACCGACTCTGGGGTTGCGGCGCTCATCTTGCTTTATTGGCCGAGGGAGCCGGTGTACAGCTTCCGGGTCATGTGGCCAGCATGACTAAGCCGCTTCTGGCGAACCAGAGCAGCGCACGGAAATGCCGTTTACCTTCCTGCCGGAGCAGTAACTATTTATCTACTTGCACTTTGACGTGCTTTTGAACTGCTAGGTTGGCAGGAGCAGGGACCGAGCAACGGGAGCTCACCCCGTCCTGGGGATTTGAACCGCCAACCTTCTGATCAGCAAGTCCTAGGCTCTGTGGTTTACCCACAGCGCCACCCGCTTACAGATCACAAATTGAGCCACTGTCTTGAAAATGCCATACACCTTACTGTATCTTTGCAAGTAAGACCACAGATAACTAATCCTCAACATTTCACTTGCTCACGCTGGTCTCATTTAAGTGCCTCTCTCTCCCCCCCCCCCTTTCTCCTTCTCTCTCTCTGTGTGTATACACACATGAAGGAAGTACTGTTTAATAATAAAAAGGATAACCCCTGTTATTAATTAACTCGTGCATTTAACTCTGTCATAGTTTCTGTCATAGTCATGCTGATTTAGCAGAATAAACAGGACCTCCAAAAAGGTCCACCACTGACTACTGGCCGCAACCCTCCAGGGTTTCTGGCAGGAAATACTCCCAGTCCTGAGGTGCTGTATGGCATTAGTGTTTTCAAAGAACTGTAAGGTGCTCAGTGCACATCCGCACCATCTATTTAAAGCACATCTAACACACGTTTAAAGCATATGACACCTCCCAAAGAATCTTGGGAACTGTAGTTTCCTCACAACCATTAACAAACTACAGTTCCCATGATTCTTTGGGGGAAGTCATGTATTTTAAATTTGTGTTGCATCTGCTTTAAATTTATGTGCCCACAGATAGATTTGGTGGCAGTGTGAGAACAAAAGACAGGGTTTTTTCCCTCCCTTGGCTAAGAAAACTGCCAAATTGATTGCAAGCATTTTTAATTCAAACCAGTGTGGCAGTTGAGATCAGTTCTCTCCTAGGGGAGGGTCCAGGAAAGCAAGCATCAAAATGCAAGTGTGGCTGACTGGCTCCTTCTAGGAATCATATTAGTATCAACTCTGTGCTCTTCACACAAGATTAGCAGCACGGATAGAGTATTTTAATCCCTCGGCATTTCGAACCACTCAGACTTTCCAGGACTTGTCCTGCATGCCTAACTTGGATGTTTGTTTTTTAAATACTGCCTACGGCAAAGGCTAGGAATGGGAACACCAGTTCTCTGAGCAAAAAAATCTTTATTTAGACATATGTGCAGCCTTTGCACAATGAAACTGTTTCTGCCGGCAAATATTGCCAGGAAATATTGCTCCACTCATCCCACACTCAGCTTTGATACAGAAAGAGTAACATGGGAAAGAGGTTTTGGAGAAAGTCCTATGTGAAATAAGGATGGGGGAGAAATTTGATTCCACATGCATTCAAATCCAATTTGTTCAAATTCACATTTTCCAACAGTTTTCTGTTAGAGTTCTCCAACCAAACTATGCTTACAAATGCATGTATTTTAGGTGAAAGTCTGCATAAAAATGAAGCTCTGAGTGAAATTAACTTTCATGAGGCTCTTTTTTTGGCAAATTACTGCAAAATATGGGGAACTAGATTTAAGACTGGAAAAATGAGGAACAGAGAGAACCAATACTGGCAGATCCTAATATTTTCTAAACATCCCATGTAACAGTGGCCCCTGATTCATATCTCTGAAATGATGTGCTGCTGTTATTCTTATGGGTGAAAAATTGCATATGATCAGGGCATGGGTACCTGATTGCAACTGGTTACAACAAAGCAGGGGTGCCAACTTGAATAAAATATTGGGTGGGGGGCAGGTAAGCCCTCCCCACACAATTGATCACAAGCCATGACACCCCCCCCCATTTGAATGGCAATGCCTATGAACTGGGGGAGTGGGGGGCTGTAATATTTTATTGGGTGCTGAAGGGACTTCAACCCCAAGAGCTGACTCCTATGCGACAAAGCATGAATTATGTTGATAATGTTGCAGGCATTACAACACCCATCACCCCGGACCAGTCACCTGATGGGAGTTGGCGTCCTACAACATCTGGAAGAAACCATTTGTGGTCTGGTTGTGTGTATCTGCAGATGGGTAGCCGTGGTAGTCATCTGCGGAAAAACAACAATCACAGGATATAATCCAAGAGAAAGGTCAAACAACAGGAATGAGACCATTTTAATGATTAGAATCTCAACCCACCAAGACTTCCAGTTCATAAATGTATGCTCCTTCTACACTGGGCAGCATCTTTCCCCTGCTCCTCTCTCCGGCCCAGAAAAACACTATGATTTTTACAAACTCCAGCTCAAGTGCCCGAAGAAAAAGATTTGTGGGAGTATGAATGACTCACTGGGAAAATCCTAAATGTTTTCCCTGGCTTTCATCAGACAGGCACGAAAGTAAGACACAGGGTGTTCACTTGGCGTCTTTCGGGAAAGACAGTGGCACCCATTTTGCCCAGAGGCGAAGAGTCAGGTCTCATCAACAGAAACATGTTCGAACCTTTCTGGGTCTAGTGAGTTGACTTCAAGCTAGAGTTCAAGAGGCATTCACTAATTGTTTTTGTACCAGCTAAAGGTAAGCCCTAGTGAAAAACCAAGGTCTGTGTCAGAGGTCCAATGAAATGGAAGATCAAGAGATGTAGAAAACCTCTCTTTAAATGCAACCAGCTTTCTTTAATCATCATCATCATCATCATTGATATAACGTTTATTTATTTTGTATGGTGCCCTATACTGGTAGATCTCAGGGCAGTTCACAACATAAAATTGCAATATAAAAACACAGAATACATAATAAAAACAAAGACAACCAAATAATCCCCCTTTCCACAACACATTTAAAAGGGCACCAGATGTCAATCAGCCAAAGGCCTGGCTAAACAGGGATGTTTTCACCTGGCGCCTAAAGGTGTACAATGAAGTCGCCTGGTGAACCTCCCTGGGGAGAGCATTCCACAAACAGGAACCACTGCAGAAAAGGCCCTTTCTCGTGTTGCCACCTTTTGGACCTTTCATGGAGGAGGTACACAAAGAAAGGCCTCAAAGGAACTAGGCAGGTTCATATGGAGAAAGGCGGTTCTTGATGTATCGCGGTCCTGAGCTGTTTAAGGCTTTATAGGTCAAAAACAACATTCTGAATGGGCCCAGAAACTAATTTGTAGCCAATGCAGTCAGACCAGGATCGGTGCAATATGCTCAAACCATCTTGCCCTAGTGAGCAACCCGGCTGCTGAATTCTGCACTTTGTTGTTGTTGTTTAGTCGTTTAGTTGTGTCCGACTCTTTGTGACCCCATGGACCAGAGCACGCCAGGCACTTCTGTCTTCCACTGCCTCCCGCAGTTTGGTCAAACTCATGCTGGTAGCTGCACTAGGACCCCTCTAAATCCATCTCAGCCATTTAAGCCAACATCACGATCCTTTCTTAACAGCAACTGTTTAAATACAAGAAGCCAGAGCTCTGATGGACCAAGTTTGCAGGGGGGGGGGGGAGAACACAAAGACACTGGAAGGATATAGAGATTTCTATTTGCATTCTAATCAATATTTCTAAATCTGCACCTGTACGCATAAATTAGCATACCAATACATGTGCATTGCATGCAGATCGGTGTCTTCTTTTGTTTCCCCTGAAATTTCTGCACCCCTTTGCAATTATTTTTTTAAAAGTCCATATGAAAATTCATCAGCATTTCAGTGCATATTTCTCATGATATACCTAAGGGCCACATTCCCTTCTAGGCAATGTTTCAGGGGCCACTTTGCCAGTGCTGGGCAGGACCACCAGCAACAGTGTGAAGAGCAAGAAATGTTTACTCACACATTCCTCTCTTTCCTCCGTCCAGGCAAGAAAAAAGTATCATCAGAGCTCCAGGAAACACTCTGGCCAGTCAGGAACACTCAGGGAGGGTCTATTTCAGGCATCCCCAAACTCGGTCCTCCAGATGTTTTGGGACTACAACTCCCATCATCCCTAGCTAACAGGACCAGTGGCCAGGGATGATGGGAGTTGTAGTCCCAAAACATCTGGCAGGCCGAGTTTGGGGGTGCCTGGTCTATTTGCTAAGGTCAGGCAAACCTCTACTAATTTTTATGCTCACGTTCATCCTCTCCAGAGCAGCTATTTCACATTCATCAGGGATAACAATGGGCAAAGACAAGCACAGAGAACAAGGGAGATTGGAGGAAGAACTGGGTAGAAAATCTTACACACACACACACACACACACACACACACACACCCCACGTTTGTAATTGCTGCAGCATAAGCCTAATGAAGCCAATGTTTTCAAAAAGCTCTGAGTGCACCTTCAGGGCACCATATATTAGGATTGCAATCTCTTATTATGATTGGCCTTGTTTATGTGCCTTTCACAGCAGCCCAAGAGGCAGAAATTAAGCAGGTGGAGATTTTCATGGCATGCATGAAGAGAAAGTGATGGAAGAAGCTCCCTCAGCTGCATTTTTGTGTGTCAGTCAATCGCCAGGCAATGAGCTTGTCTGTCTTGTACTTCTCCATTAAGCAGCTGTAAAGCCTTCCATAAGAAGTCAAGAGGCTGGTGCTGTTCTTGTAAGACTCTCTACTGACACCCAGCGGCTTAGCAGAGTTCCCACCACTTAATGACTTTTCAACTGATGAATTGGCAATTTCATACTAGAGGCATAACATTTCCATACCCTCCAACATTTCTCCAGTGAAAATAGGGACATCCTAAGGAAAAGGAAAAGTGGATGTATGGAAGTGAGAGCTGGACCATAAAGAAGGCTGATCGCCGAAGAATTGATGCTTTTGAATTATGGTGCTGGAGGAGACTCTTGAGAGTCTCATGGACTGCAAGAAGATCAAACCTCTCCATTCTGAAGGAAATCAGCCCTGAGTGCTCACTGGAAGGACAGATCGTGAAGCTGAGGCTCCAATACTTTGGCCACCTCATGAGAAGAGAAGACTCTCTGGAAAAGACCCTGATTTTGGGAAAGATGGAGGGCACAAGGAGAAGGGGACAACAGAGGACAAGATGGTTGGACAGTGTTCTCGAAGCTACCAGCATGAGTTTGACCAAACTGCGGGAGGCAGTGGAAGACAGGAGTGCCTGGCGTGCTCTGGTCCATGGGGTCACGAAGAGTCAGACACGACTAAACGGCTAAACAACAACAACAAAGGAAAAGTGGGACATTCCAGGATTAAATCAGAAACTGGGATGGCTTCTCTAAATCAGGGACATCCCTGGAAAGTTGGGACATTTGAAGTGCCTGCATTCCTGGAAGCTGGGATTCATAGAATTGCAGAGTGGAGAGGGACCACGAGGATCATTCAGTCCAGCCCCCTACAATGCAGGGATCTTTTGCCCGACATGGGGCTCGAAGCCAAGACATTGAGTTTAAGTCCCATGCTCTACTAGCTGCGCTATCCCAGAGAGATGGTGGGGAGATCTTTTTAAGTGTGAATTGGTGGGAAATAGAGATTCTGGGGAAAATCAGTGCAGTGCTAGCTTGCTTATCCAACTTGTTTTTCGACTTTAGCAACATATAATAACACTCACAACTTAGGGCACAATAGTTTTGTATAATCAAAGCTGTAAAAAAACAAAACCCACTTCTAGAGAGATGCAAACTACTGCAAAAAAGGGCCACTTTTAAGTAGCTGCATTTTAGGTTTT